AATTAAAGCCAAAAAGTTCAATAAGTTGATGCTGGAATGTGTGTGCACTCAGGAATGAGAAGGCGAACTTCTCCTCTTCCTTTCAATTCCTTTTCTTTTCAGTTGCTGCTATAGAAAAAAATTGGCTAAAACTGTGAAGTCCATACTGCCATTTGGACTTGGTGAGTGTCCGTACTCGTCCTCATCTAAGCCTACCCCAGCCATGCAGGTGGTCCTATAAAAGATACCATCCGCAAAAATCCTTGTCATTCTTTTCCTACAGTGTACTTAACATGACAGAATGAACAAGCTTGCTTTCCTGCTCTAATTAGCTGTGTTTAATATTGCAATTAAAGAGAATTTTTGCTGTCTGAGAAACACAAATGCTTTGCTTAATAAACCAGAAGGATCATCTTCCACATAAACCTGCGGCCACTAACCAGCTCAGCCACATCAAGCAGACTATAAAAATGATCTTCTTTCAAATCTATTCTCACCGATGCAGCAAGGGTGCAGGCAAAATCTTAATGAAATATGCATACTAACATTAAAAAGGGAACAAAAAAGTTTGGTATCTGATATATAATCACAATGATCAAGTCAGGTGTGCAGACTCCCTGGCATGGACTTTATTAGAGTTCAGTTAAAAAAAACACAATCTTCAGACATTCGAGATGTAGTTCTCACTGATAAGGTAGCAAACAGGAAATGAAACCCCTCCCAACTGCCGCTCCTTATCTTGAAAAGCCCTGAAATTATTACTGAACTAATAAAGTAATTTTGTTTTAAAAAAAGTGATTTTACTTTTTTTGATAAAGGCCGTTGTGAGATTATTACTTTCTGGGGGCTATGTACCATACCAGGCCGTGCGCCGTATTGATGCTCGGCTGTAACTTATTATGGTGGACTCTGGAAGGGAGTATATCAGCACCCATTACAAATCCCTTGCAGGAAAGGGAATTTAACCTGTTAAGCTATTGGTTAGCCGCCAGCATCGCATTCAAATGTGCTCTTTGCTTGCTTTCCCCATAGTGCTTTTTGTCTACCTCACTAAAAAAGCACCGAGCTGCTTAAAGCATGAATTGCATGGAGGCTTTACAGAGCAATCGCAGCATTCATTAGCACTGCTAACACAAGTGCCGACATTCTTTAGGATAACAGCATTTTGGGGCTGAGGGAAGTACTGCCAGGCTACTATGTCTAAGAGGCAACCGCCCGTTTTCTCACTCATCAGTTTCAAGCTCTGAGGATTGCGTAATTCTAGAAGTTTGCAGAGATGACAATGATGATAAAAGCATTATCTCATTGGATTGAATCTTCCCCCTTCTCACTTCACTCGGAAGGATCAGCATTCAGGAACCAAGGGCCATTCTCCGGCTTGGGAGACCAGGGTTCAATCACAAGCTCCCCACGTGATCTTGGGCAAGTCCAAACGAGGGATTTGAGAGCTGTATAGGTTCAAAACTGTGAGCATGAAACCCCTGCTCAGCTGACACCTATCCCTGGGGGTATCTAGACTCTGTAGGTATCTATATTTTTGACATTCAAGTTCCCTAAACACCTTAAGCCCTCCAGGGAACTCAACTGCACCGAGCAGCTCAGCATTTGATCCATTCCTCTGTCCTCTCAGGACCACAAACCAGGCAGATTTCTTTACTGAACTCCCCCAAAGAACTCAGTCCAGTAGCCACTCTCAAAGTACGCTGAACACACTGGTCTCTAAATAAAATGCAGTGGCAGCTGCTATTTTCTTTTAGAACACTATGGTGAAGGTGTCTTGGAAAAATAATTTGTAAAGCTGTATCTGGGTATCCACTAAGCAGCTTTTTCTGTTCCGACAGAAACACACAGAACAGCTTAATTTACGAGGGTTTCAGCCCCCTCTGCTGGAGCAGGTAGAGATTCTGAAACTATGCCTATATTTTTAAAACATGAGACTTAGATAAAGAGATACTTGCAACTTAAACATCACAAGTTGTTCACCAATGTCTTGGTTACTAAAAAAGCTATACTTGTGGAGAAAGCAAATCCCCTGGGGAAAATGTTGTTTGTTGCACAAGCTTAGCAAGAAGCAAGGACATTTCACTTCCTAATTGCACTGAATGCCAATTACAAACTCTGTGTCTGGGGCTAGGGGCAGAAATTACACATAAACTGGTATGAGTGATTTGAACCGGTTCAAATATGTAATACAACAGAACTTCAGCGCACATAAACCGCTTTCAAAATGGCCCAAACCGGTTTAAGATAAACCTGGAGGGATGTATTATCAGAGTTAACTGATTTAGGTTAAATCAGTTTATTGAGCTTCTGTCCAGAACCCCTCCAGATTCAAGTTAACTCAGTCTCCTAGCATCCCAGGATGCTTCACACCTTGGCTCAAGCTATCTGTTCCAGCCAAGCAGGGAGGCGTGCTCTAGCATCTCCCAGCTTCTGGCATGGGCCACTGCAGGCATGCGAATGTCTGTTTGCTTGCTTATTGGTTCAACTACACAGCTTAGACTACACTGCAAAGATTGAATCGATCCAGCCTTGGGCTTTTTGACTGTCTGCACTTCGCCTGGAAAAAAAAGGCTGTAGAAGAGCTGCTGTAAGTATCAGTCAAGACATATCAAGTAACTTGCAAGTAAAATTAAGCACGTGGGCAAATGATTACAGGAGGGGGCCTCTGTAACATTTTACAGATAAACAATATAATTAGCCCTAGTGCTCAATTCAATTTGTTTATTAAATCCTCATTTTCAGTTCAGTTATGTCATTCTGGCCCTGGCAGTTGGGGCCTCTCATTCATCCATTTATTTTGCTGCATATGCTTGACTCAAACCAGGTGTTTTACCTGGTCATGGAGCAAATATATGGACTATCTCCCTTTATATACAGAAACAAATGTTAGAGCTACTGTGTAAAATTACTCCATATTAGTATGTGTTCATCACTTGCATAAAAAAGGAACTTCTGAGGTTCATTGAAAAGCAGGACACGTGTGAAGTGCGTGATCACAGTGGTTTTTCCCCTGTTGTGTTAGAATCTATACGAACTTGTGCTAAGTTGGCACTGCTCTCCCTAGAGCACGGTGGTCAACCTGCAGTATGTCTCAAGTGGTATGGGCAGCCTCTGTGGATGGCACGCAGCGAACCAGGAAGCGGACATGCAACACAGTGGCAGATAGGGTGGGGAGCAGAAGACAGAGCACAAGGTCAGACAAGAAGAACAGGGCTAGAATCAGAAAGCAGAACAGCTGACTAAACAGGAGAAGAGGACTGGAGTGCTACTCGGCAAGGGCATGGGGCTAATTGGTGGCACACCTGCCAAAAAGGTTGGCCCCTGCTACGCTAGAGTAGACTTGACTCCTACCAACTTCAACTGGCGTTGGGAGCAGACCATGAAAAGCTGATATGCATTTCAAATTCAATAGCTAAATCAAAACTTCTCCCCTTAAAAAGCAACATTCTGTTAAGTGCGAACCACTTCAGAAATATCACCAGGAACATACTTTTGAAAGCCCTGTTGAGGATTTACTTTATATACACAAGTTGCAGCAGCAAAACAAGCTGTTAAAATGTTCTAAGAGGCCCTGGAAGTACTGTTTCCACAGCAGAAAATAATATATTTGAAAGAGCTGGTTGCAGACAGAGAAATTAAGTTGCTTAAGATCACACAAGTCAATGGCAGAGGAGGACAGAACCCAGAGCTTTGAGAGCCACAGCTTTGCTTTAACAACTAGTTCATGCCACTCCAAACGACTATTTGAAATTAAAAGGTAGACCGAACTTGCACTCATTTTACTAGTGTCAGATAGCAGCCCATAAACTCTTTCCAGTCAACGCTCAGAATATGGCTCTGTTTATCGTACTGAAACCCCCAGAATTCAATCTATGCTTCAGTGGAACTCAGGAGAAAATGATTGATAACTGACCTCCTCCTCAGAGTCATCTGCAAAAACTGAAGGTTTCTTTGTAACAAGTGTTTTCTGTGGTGTTTTCTTGGGCAAAATAAGTCCATATCTAGGGAAAGAGATTAGAAATGGTCTGCTTAAAATTACGGACAATTCTGGCTTAATCACATATATCTTCCACGACAGTCCTCCCCCCAGCCCCCGCCACCACACACACACACACACCAGCCACACAGTATTAAAAACAAAACAGCAAACTAAGAAGATCTGTACAACTGGGTGCATTTCAGAAGATCATTTGGCGAGATATGAGGCCAGTGTTACTGCCTACTTGTCAGCTTGTCCTGTAGTTGTCCCTATGCTTTATTCTATGCCACTCATTTTGCATACAAGGGACTTCCTCGACCCATCCACAACACTGGTCGTTTCTCAAGTCTCTCCTGAAGTACTTCTTCCACGACAAAAAACTGACTCGCATTTTTAATGCACGTGCAGACATGTGAAAAACCCCATTCAAATCCATGGACTTAGTCATGTACGTCAAGTTAGTATCAGCGGTAAGTCTTTACTTGGTCAGGCCTTGAGTCAGTTTCTTGTAACTGTTCTTGTCCTCTCCTATTTCCTGCACATCTTTGAATGAACTGTCCCACCTACACGAAGGGAAGAGAACAAGCGCTGAAAGGAAGGTTGTGAAGGCGCTGGCTACAGCGTGCATAGAAACCAAGAGGAATGCAGTGTGTTTCGTGCTTTAAATAGCCCGATCAAAACGTTAAGTAGCTCAATCAAAACATTAAAACAGCGCGATTGCGACGTTAAATAGCTTGATCAATATGTTAAATAGCTCAACCAAAACATTAAATAGCGTGATCACGGCGTTAAATAGCTGAGTCAAAACCATCGTAGGATGGTTGATGTTACTGCTCCCATCCCTGTGCGTTTCCTGTTATTTTCCCTTTGCCCGTCCCTCCGCTCGCCTTTCCGCACCGCAGCCCGTGTGGCCCCAGTGTTTAGGAAGCACCTAGCCTGTCTGGGATGCGAAATGAGCATGCGATATGGAGCCGATCGGGATTAAGTTTTGCTTCAGCGCCACTCAAATACCCAAGGCCGCGACGACGACAGGCTGCATGTGGGGGACCCGGGCCTGTCCGAAGCAGACTGGGAGCGGTGGCACAGGGCGGGGCAGGGCGCGGCGCCACGTCTGACTTGTTTTGCAATTAGAAGAGGGGTGAACACAAAGGGGCAGGCCAAGAGTCACAGAGAGGAGAGCGGCAGGGGGCTCGGGAGTCGCATCCAGGGCAACCCCCTGCTCCAAGCAAGACCAGCCCCAGCTACATCGCCCCGGCTCGTGGGGGTCCGCCCGGCCCTGCTGGGTTGTGACCCCCGCCCCCGGTGCGAGCGGCGGACCTGCGCCCCCCGGCCCGTCGCGGCCC